TTTTTTAAGATTTTATTTATTTATTTGAGAGAGAGCAATCACGAGCAGAGGGGAGGGATAGAGGGAGCAGCAGACTCCCCGCTGAGCAGGGAGCCCTACGCAAGGCTCGATCCCAGGACCTTGGGATCATGACCTGAGCCAAAGGCAGATGCTTAACCGACTGAGCCACCCAGGTGCCCTCATCATAGAAGTTCTATATACTTCTTTCTCAGCACTCTTGCAAATTTGCACATTTATGCCAAGGAAATAATTCAGGACAGAGGGTGGAGGGCAGAGGTCCTTCCCCATCTTCCTGACTTTGTGCTGTCCTTGGGAAGGCGCTAGGTCTCGCTCAGCCCATCCCCCTATGCTGGCACCTGCTAACACCCATGGAGCTCTGTTGGGTGAATGTTTGACCACCATGTGGTTACAGTGGACAAGAAAGAGGAAGGTGGTATGGAGGACAGTCTGGGAGCTCTCCACTGATCAAGTTCCTGCTTTCCTTCCAGCCACCCAAATGTCAGGAGAGATGGACAAGCCACTGATCAGCCGCCGCCTGGTGGACAGCGATGGGAGCCTTGCCGAGACCCCCAGTGAAGGCCCCAAAGTGGGCATCCTGGGCAGCGGGGACTTTGCCCGCTCCCTGGTCACACGCCTGGTGGGCTCTGGCTTTAGCGTGGTGGTGGGGAGCCGCAACCCCAAACGCACAGCCGGGCTGTTCCCCTCAGCGGCACAAGTGACTTTCCAGGCGGAGGCAGTGGACTCCCCTGACGTCATCTTTGTGGCCATGTTCCGGGAGCACTACTCCTCACTGTGTGGCCTCAGCGACCAGCTGGCTGGCAAGATCCTCGTGGACGTAAGCAACCCCACAGAGCAGGAGCACCTCCGGCACCGCGAGTCCAATGCTGAGTACCTGGCTTCCCTCTTCCCCACCTGCACGGTGGTTAAGGCCTTCAATGTCATCTCCGCCTGGACCCTACAGTCCGGCCCAAGAGATGGGAACAGGCAGGTAGGTGCTGGGGGCATACCAGCCATCAAAACAATAAATATAAATGGCTAATTTTCGTTGCGGGCCCTCAGTGTGCCAGCCTCATCTCACATCACTGCAGAGTTCCATTTTACAGAGCGGGAAACTGAGGCTCAGAGATGTTAATGAACTTACTTATACCAGCTCCCACAGCTGGAGAGCTGGGATGTGAACCCAGTTCATATGAATCTGAAATCCATGTTCTTTCTTCTGTGGTAACTCAATTTCCAAGGGGGCAAGGAGGAAGAGGCTTTCTTTTTACTATCTGGAGTCAAGAATAGGAGAGACTCTGCTTTGAGAATGGACTTAGAAAGAGGAAAGCAACACATTTATGTGCCAGGTCCCAAGGAAGCAGGCAGGTCCCAAACTTCAGTGCTTGGATTCCAAGAACTTCCAAGAACTAAGTTGGTTTCCTAGAATAGTCAATAGTGGGTTTTTTTCTGGGGGTGGAAAATGGCTCCAGAAAATGGCCAGAGCTGCATACAGTTCTTGGCAGGAGGGGCTCCTATGACGACAAGGTCGTTTTTAATGCCCAGGGGCCACCTGCATTTGCCTGGAGGAAGGATGTCAGGCTTTATGTGTGTGAGAACTTCCACCAATTTGTCCAGCCCACATGCCTCACCTGCTTAGCTCCGTGCCAGCCTGTGGGAGAGTGCACAGCGGTCTCGCCTGGAAGGCCCTACGTGTGGCCTGCGCTGTAGGACTCCCATATGTGGACAGGCAAGGAACAGGGCATGAAGGCTGGGTGGCAGGGCCTAGAAGGAAACAGAGCTAGCGGCTGGCTAGGGAAGACTTCAAGGTCAACTTTGGCCTGGTCCCACTTCCTGGTGACAGGGAGCGGGGAGGACATCCCAGTTTGCAGGAACAACCGGCAAAGGTACAGAGGTGAGAAATGATGCTCCTGGACCTCAGTTTCCTCACCTGCAAAATGGGGCCGTACCAACCTGCAGGCTTGTGGTAAGGCGGAGGGACTGCGTGTGTAAAGCCTAGCGCATAGTAGGTGCTGAGCCAGCGTCGGTGGACCAGACTAACCATAGCAGTGTGAGCAAGGCCACAGTGTTCAGAGATCCGAGGACACTGCCTGGAGCTCATGGTGGGAAGCCTTGGGCTATGAGGCTAGGGCTGGCTTGTGTGTTAGCTGAGGGGCATGGGGGCCTGAGGGGACACCATCAAAGGGGACACCATCGAAGGGGACTGAGGGATGGAGCTGCATCCACAGCTGCATGTTCTGGGCCATATGCAAAGCCCAATTACTGAGCAACCCCCGAGCAGGCCACCGTTCTCAAAGCACCTACTCCAGGGGCTCCTGGGGGCCCCCCAGGCGGCATGTTGCTTGTGGTTGCTGATGGCAATGAACTGGACAAAACGCTCACTGTCGGGTGAGCCCTGGGTCTTCCCTTTGCATCATGGGTGTGCTGAACCAGGGGCTGGGCGGCTATAGGGGGCCGGGGGAGTTGGGGGAAGACCCTGGTCTGGGAGTCACAGCCACCGTCCAAGCTGTGGCTCCCTGGCCTCAGCTTCTTGGCCGCTTGGTGAGGAGTTTGGCCGAGACACTCTCTGGGGCCCTGCCCGCCCCTGTGGCCTGTGACCCCATCTGATCCACCCCCCTTCCTCCCCACAGGTGCCCATCTGCAGTGACCACCCAGACGCCAAGCGGGCCGTCTCGGAGATGGTGCAGGCCATGGGCTTCATGCCCGTGGACATGGGGGCCCTGGTCTCGGCCCGGGAGGTGGAGGCCATGCCCCTGCGCCTCCTCCCGGGCTGGAAGGTGCCCGCCCTCCTGGCCCTGGGACTCTTCATCTTCTTCTACGTCTACAACTTCGTCCGGGACGTCCTGCAGCCCTACGTGCGGGACGGCAAGAGCAAGTTCTACAAGCTGCCCGTGTCCGTGGTCAACACGACGCTGCCGTGCGTGGCCTACGTGCTGCTGTCCCTGGTGTACCTGCCCGGCGTGCTGGCGGCCGCCCTGCAGCTGCGCCGGGGCACCAAGTACCGCCGCTTCCCCGACTGGCTGGACCACTGGCTGCAGCACCGCAAGCAGATAGGCCTGCTCAGCTTCTTCTGCGCCGCGCTGCACGCGCTCTACAGCTTCTGCCTGCCCCTGAGCCGCGTGAACCGCTACGAGGTGGTCAACCTCGCCATCAAACAGGTACGACCGGCGCGCGCAGCCTACCAGCCGCCCTCGGCCGCTTCTGGCCCCGCAGGGGCGCTGCGCCGGCCGCCGCCCGACGTGCTGAAGACTGGTGAGCCCGGCGGGGCAATGCCAGGGCTGGTGGACGCAGCCCAAGGCTGGGGGCAGGAGACGGACGCAAGACAGCTGCGAGTTTTCGAGGCTCTGCAGGAGGAGTGCTAAAGAGAAAAGCCAAGCAGGGGAGTGTGGTGGAGCACAGTCTTGAAGCAGGTCAGGGGAGGCCTTGCGAGGCGGTGACGGGTGAGCAGAGGTGGAAGGAGGTGAGAGCGGCCAGTTTCAGCCAGCCCAGGGAGCGACAAGAACAGAGGCTCTCAGGTGGGAGCCTCCAGGAGCCCAGCGAGGGGTGGTGGGCCAGGCCTAAGTAGTTGAAGCCAGACCAGGGAAACCCTGAAGGCAGGGGAAGGGCTTTGGCCTTAGGCTCTGAGTGAAACAGGGAGCCGGTGAAGGGTTTTGAGGAGGGGAGATTCTCTGCCTGACGTTTTAGCTCACTCACTCTCGCTGCTGCAGGGAGAACAGGAAGTAGGGGTCAAAGGCACATGCCGAGAGACCCATGGCCGGGGCGGTGGGGGTGGGGGGCTGCGCAGGAACCCAGACGAGAGGCCACAGGGGCCTGGAGTGAGGTGGGAACAGCAGAGGGCCGGAAAGCATTGAAGGCATATTTTGAAGCCCTGGTACACAGAATTTTGAAATAGGGGGTATGCGGGGTGGTCAAGGATGACTCCGGGTTTTTGGCCTGAGCATCTGGACGGAGGCAGTTGCCATCAGCTGAGGTGCAGAAGGCTGCAGAAGCAAGCTGTTTTGGTGGGGTTTAGGGGGAGGCGTTAATGATTCATTCGTTTAGGAAACCTGTGTGGTGCTCTTTTGCCACAGGATTCCTGGAGAATGGAGGGCCTTACGGGCCAGGCCAGGTAGCAACCAGGTAGGCCTGGTTTACAAAGCTCACGGGGCCTGATTCTGAGTCCCAGGCAACACTGCCCCACGTGCTAATCCTACCTCCAGTCCCCAGCCAGGCACATGGGGCCTTCCCGCTGCGAGCAGGACACTAGTCACCCACTAGAATTTGGCCCAGGTGCCAGTGAGACCCTCATTCCAGCCCAGGTGGCCCCCGCAGTTCCTGTTCTTGCTTGGGAGGCAGGGATCTCCCCAGCTGTGCCCACCATGCAGCCATCCCCTCAGAAGCCTGGCCACCTCCCAGAGCGGTAAACTGAAGGCAAGGCTGGGCCGCTTCCAGAGAACCATGGGCCTCAGCCCCCATTCGCTCTTGGGGTTCCTGCTCCCCTGCTGGTAGTTTCTCAAGTGCCCTCGTCCTTTCCTACCCACGGACACCTGGCATCATTGTGTCTGTGGGCTTAGGCTTTCCTCAGAGAAAGGAAGAACCCCAGACTTCAGGCAGAGAAGCAAGACGCCCACTGGAAATGAGAAGAAGGGAAAAATAACAGGCACAAACCCTGAAAAAGAACGTGCTGCGTTCCAGGTGCCATCCTAAGTGCTTCACGTACTCCCCGGGAATTCATTTAACCCTCATACCTCTAAGGCACGTGCTAGGCTACCCTGATTTTACAGATGAGCAAACGGAAGCACAGAGAGGGTAAGTCACTTGACCAAAGTCATGCAGCCAGTAAGTGGCTGAGCTGGGATTCAGATCCAGCCATTTGACTCCAGATCCATGCTCATATCCTTATTGCTTTCTATGGGAAAACTAAGTCCAAATTAACAGTTGAGTAAATGATCCCAGAACTCAGGTCATTCCCTCGTTCATTCCCTGAGCGCCGACTCTGCCAGACCCTGGGGCCCCAGAATGGAATAAGACCGTCTCGTCTCTTGCTGTAGCTGATGCTGGGGTGGGAGTGGGGGTGGCGCCGACTCCTGAAGGCCAGAGCCCTAAACTCTTGTCCTCCAGCATCACTGATTAGAACAAAGACCTTGACCTTCAGCAAGTCACAGCCCCTGTTTTGTCCTGAAGGCCCTAATACAGAGTGAGGCCTCTCCCACTGCTAATGTCTGTGATGCTCTTTGATGATATTTTCTAAAATGAGCCAGCTCGCTAGCAGGAGGCTCTGTGTGGCTTCTCGGGGACTGGCACAATGTTTGCTGCCCAGGAGGTGGCAGATCTGGGTGGCAGGTGTTTCAGGCAGTGGGCAGTGAAGAAGGTAATGCCTCCTCCCCCCTAGAGCACAAGGCAGACCCCTGTGCCCTCCCTTCCCCCATCCACCCTCTGATTGCCATTCTCTAAATTCTCTACCCTGCCAATGCTCTGCTTGATATTGTTAACCCAGTTTTGCCACGATGCAAATACCAGAGCTCAGAGGGGCGAGTGCGAGGTAATTTTCCCGGAGTTCCAAAGCCCCGCAGGGCTGCAGCCCGCACATTCCGCCCCCCCCCCGCCCCACCCCACCGATGGAGGTTGCCAGGCAACCATCCCTCCCACGGGACAGAATCGCTTGGAGACAGTGAAGGCCTGTCATGCAAAGGGGCTTTCACTTGTCCTGTAGAGTTCTGGAGGGTAGAGCCAGGGCTGAAGCCAGGGCGGAAGTGAGTGTGTCGGGGGGGGGGAGGAGGAGGGGTTAGAAGGATGGGGAGGGGGGAGGCTAACACAGGGCAGGGCAGCCCAGCAGTGGTGAATCGCCTGAACCTGGAGGTGTTGGAGGAGAGGCTAGATAGTCTGTGGGTCACCCCCGCCCTCGGGCCCTGAGACTGGACCGCTGAGAAGCTGTTCTGCATTCAGCCCCTAACTTCAGGCTCCTGCCTGACGTGTGACTTTTCCAGCCTGCCCTCAGGCCGTCCTCACCATCCTGGCTGCCCTGCTGGGCCTCAGGGGAAAGGGAGCAGGTTAGCCTGGGCACCGGAAACTCTCCACGGTTCCCTTCAATCCCCTGAGTCTGCAAATTTGGAAACAGAGCGGCATCTCAGCTACAGAAAGAGTCTCTGAGACCGTTTATTGACAGTAGTATCACCTACAATACCTAATATTTGTACAGCACTTTCTGATTTGCTTGTGCGACCCCCTAGAAATGCATTTCAAGATCAAAATCAAAGATCAAAAACAAGATCAAAGATGGGGCGCCTGGGTGGTTCAGTCGTTAAGCGTCTGCCTTCGGCTCAGGTCATGGTCCCAGGGTCCTGGGATCCAGCCCCGCATCGGGCTCCCTGCTGAGCAGGGAGCCTGCTTCTCCCCCTCCTTCTGCTTCTCCCCCTGCTCATGTTCTCTCTGTCTCTCTGTATCTCTGTGTCTCAAATGAA